AAGAAAATATTGAGAGACTGAAACATAGCAATATTTCTTGTTATGACACTGATTCGATTTTGAAACAGTTCGTCAATTTTTTTTTTAAAATGTACACGTAAACATTTACTGTATTCATTTCGTGTGGGGTGCAATTTAAACGCCGACTGGCAGGTGGCAGCAGTTTTTACCGTCTTCATTCTGATGGAACAACAAGATCTCACTCTAACAGTGGACGTGTCATGGAAATGTCAGACCTGAGTTTTCCATTTTAAGTCTTAAAAAGTGTAAATACAGTACAGGCCAAAAGTCTGGACACACCCTATCATTTATTGTGTTTTCTTTATTTTCATGACCATGACCCTTTACAAAGGGGCCAACATGTGCTAAACTACAGTGGCGCCCCCAAGGGGTGGTCAGTGGTGGCCAGGGCCACCCCTAGAAAATGCTGGCCACCCCACTGGCCACACCAGAGAAGACCAATGTTCTTTAATAAATCATATTAATGTTGACGCAATATTATTTTATCAGACATAAATTTAAAATCCAATAAAATATGCAATTAAAGAAAAAATAAATAATAAGATTTTTAAAAAGTAAACATGTTTCTCCCGCTCAACATTTTCTAAACGAAAGTTTAAATTGTGTTTAGAATTTTTTTTTGTGAAAAGCTGTGTTCTTTAAGTTTGAGGTGTGTTGGATGAATATCCATCCATCCATCCATCCATCCATCCATTTTCACCCGCTCATCCGTGTTGGATGAATATTGTGCTTTTAATTAAAAAGAATAAAGGAGCACAGGAGGAAATCTGAAAGAGTTACCATACAGAATAATCTGGTGTGTCACCTCCAAAACGTTCTCTAGCCCCATCTGGCCTCCCCTACGAATTTTTTCTGGGGGTGCCACTGGGTGACTACCTCCTGAAGTTCTTCAAGAGAATGCCAAGAGTGTGCAAAGCAGTAATCAGAGCAAAGGGTGGCCATTTTGAAGAAAACTGAATATAAAACATGTTTTCAGTCATTTCACCTTTTTTGGTTAACTCCACATGTGTTCATTCATAGTTTTGATGCCTGGTATACATACATACATACATATGGGCCAGTATCACTATATTCCTGCCAATACAATACTGATTCAACTCAAAGATAAATGACAGGATTCATTTTCCACCTGCTCTGAACAGATAAATAAATAAAGAACAAAAGTTTTTTTGGTGCTTTTAATCGCTTAACGGTGAGTTCACAGACTGGAAAAAATGTTGGAATATTCTGTTATTTGGTGCATTCACAAGTCCCCCCTTCCAAAAAAAAAATCTGATTTTTTAGTCTCTGATTGGCCAGTTCCAGTCCCCTGCTGGGTTACATTATATTCACACACTTGTCAAAGACTTCACTTTTTTTTGTCAAGATCATAAAAGATTTAGATTTTTTTTAGATATGGGTTAAGATGATAAATATCGTTTACTGGTTTGAATAAGTTTAAAAATGGTTAAAAAGTTGAAATGTAATTGAACAATAATTTTGCCAGCTTTTATTCTAAGAGATGATAACTGGTTACATTACAGCCTTCCTTTTATGTAAGTTGGATGTAAGTTAATAAAACTCCTTTTGTCCCACAACAGCTGTCCTCTTGTAGCAGAATCTGCCCCAAACACCAAAAAAGGTCAACAGGGAGGGTAAGGAAACTGTCATACTGAGACATCTGAGCAGGCCTGATTACCAGTGAACCATTATGACACCAGTCATAATGAAATGTGCCAGTTACATCTTACCAAGCAATAAACATTAACAGGAATGATAACGAGAGCCGTGCGGTGAAAACGTTGAGACGGTGACACAGCTTTGCCCGAAAGCAGGACAGGATGGTGACAAACGCTCCATCACCAATCGCGGCTTCTCACTGAGACACTGAGGGAACGACTGAAGCAGAACCGTGAAGTTCTGTTCCTGTAAAGGAACCGGGGGCACAAGCGGGAACCGGGCCCCAGAACAAGAGCTCCTCTCTGAGTCAGGAGAAAGGAGGACATTGTGGAGCAGGACCCAAAGGTCATCCCGGCTGTTATCCCGACACTCTGCCTGGTCTCCTGCTGACTCACCGCTGAGAGGACTAATGTGTGTGTGTGTGTGTGTGTGTGTGTGTTATTTCCACCCGTGCATTAGTCAAATATTAGTCACAGCCCTCCCCCAGAGTTTCTGGAGGATTTCTCAATCACAATGTGACCTGACATGATTGGGTCTCCCCAGCTTTTACCACCATCATGCCGACGCCCACGGAGGTCCTGACTGGTTTCCACTTATTGGGAAACTTCTTCCTCTGTGGGAGTCCAAGCTGCTCCTCTTGTCTGGCTGTGAAAATCTTTATCTCAGAAGCTCACTGGCTTTTTTTTAATCACAGAGGAAAGTTTCATGGAGCCACATGAAAACATCTAATGTGTGTCAGAAGATTTTAGTGATACTAAACGTTTTCATTCAGGTTTTTGTTATTTATTATTTGTTTTTGGCTGCAGTCTGATTTTTATTTGGGTCCTGAAAACTGAAAAGGTCTCGACCAATCCAGAATATAAACACGAGTTGTTAAGGATGACATCTTTTTATTTGTGCTTGTGTGGTGTTGGTTTCCTTTTCTTCTTGACTTCTTTTGTATTTTGTTCTCAGTCTGCGGGGCGGCAGGGTTACGTTTCACTGCAGGTTGTATTTGTACAACTGAGCATGAGACAAATAAACCTTTTGGAATCGCTGAGTCCTTGTTCTTAACCATGAGGCACATTTCCGTTGTGGTTGGTTTTATTATGTGTTTAATACTTGGGCTTTCTCATTTGATGCGTGGTGTTTTCAGAAGTGTTGTAGTATTTCACTGAAGTTTAAGTTTGTATTATCTTTGCTGTTTTGTCACATTTTCAAAGTGTTTTATATTATTTATAGCAACTTTATAGCACTTTTACTGTCATATTTTCATTTTTTGCACTTGATAAAGTATTTTTAAAATGGGAGTTACATACCCAGCATTTATTTATTTATTTATTTATTTGTTTGTTTATTTTTAAATAAATGAATTAGTTGTAATTCTCTCTATTAACTTATTCATGTTTTTAATTGTGCTATAATTTGTTTATTAGAATTTTCATTTGTACACTACACTACTTTATTATTTACCTTTTCTAGCATTTTAAAAAGGTATTATTTATTTATTTAGTTAGTTAATTAGTTTATGTTTATGTATTTAGCAGATGCTTTTGTCCAAAGTGAATGAGTGAGTGAGTTAGTTAGTAGTTAGTTAGTTAGTTAGTTTTAGTTAGTTAGTTATGTGCACCACAGAAAATGAACTAATTAAATGTAATTTGAGTGTTTCACTCTAAAAGGGACAAATTGACTTTTCAAAATAAACGTACAAACTAATTTTAGGGCTGAATTTTGGTAAACCAGTTCTCCTGAAACATGAACCACATGAACAACCATAAATAGCAACGAATGTTATTGTGTTCCACCTGCTGAGACATATTAATATATCTTCTGAGAAAAGGATCTGAGACTTTCTTTCTTAATAATTCATTACTAACAACAACAACAACAACAACAACAACAGCAGTAGGGTCAAACATGATTTCATAAAAGATCTTAGAGAAATGCTGAGGACCAGACAACAGTTGGAGGAATAAAAGAGAACCTGAAGAACGTGACCATGGAAATTGTGAACGTTCTGTAACTCTCCACAGCCACCTGGTGAGTAAATGTGAGCAGCAGTGATTGAGTGAAAGTGAACGGCTCCATCTCTGGAGGGGGGAGAGGCATAGGGAGGGTAAAGGGAGCAGGGAAAAGGGGAGGAAGGGGGGGGGGGATGTGTGGGAAGAGAGAGAGAGAGAGAGAGAGAGAGAGAGAGAGAGAGAGAGAGAGAGAGAGAGAGAGAGAGAGAGAGAGAGAGAGAGAGAGAGAGAGAGAGAGAGAGAGAGAGAGAGAGGAGGGGCTTAAAAAGTATGAACTTGTGTATGATTTAGCTGCAGGAAGCATTAAGAAGGAAAAACACTGGAAACGGGACGTGGTGCTTTCACTCTACCGGACTTCTCCAAGGACCACTTCCCCTGTGGGTGACTTTTTCCACCCCCCCACCGGGTCGCACTTTTTGCGGAGCGCTCCTCTCACCCCTGGAGACTTGTCTTGTTAATAAAATCCGGATTCTGGGTCGCGGGTTGTGTTTTCTCCCCCCCCCCCCTCTTTCTCTGCCTCTCTTGTTTGCTGCTGTGCGTAAGAGGGACCGAAGACAAGTCGACAACACAACACCACCAGGACGAGGACCAGCTCGGGGATAACACAAACACTTTTAGGGGTTTGGGGTGGGAGGGGGGCGAAAGGAAAAGAATGAGACGTGTCCTGGATCTGTGCGTGTGTCTGCTCACGCTGCTGTCTCCCGGCGCGCTGTCCCTGTCCACACGTAAGTTGGATGCGCACGAAAGTGGAAAGGGTTCAAGTTTGGGTTTAGATCGGCTCTGGTGCGGGTTTATGCTCTGGAGGTGTGTGTGTGTGTGTGTGTGCTGCATCACCTTTAAAAGTAGGCAATCAGGCAAATAAAACGACTGGAAGCCGACTTGAATAAAGTTACTGATAGGTGAAAAAATATACAAGTATTAAAGGTTGTACTGAACAAAAACTATGAGCATGTTGTTTAAAATACCATCAAAAGTTTGGCACTACTTGGATTTTAATTGTTTTCCATAGAAACAGATTAAAGGATGCACCAATGCTGCTTTTCACAGCAGATTTCTACCTTCAAAAAGGCCAACTAATAGAAAAATCCATAATAAACAAATAAATAAATAAAGTTAGATTAATCTGTGATTAATTTGAAAATTTTGATTCTGTAAGTAATAAAACACCCTTGAAGGATCTGTGTCGAGTTCACAGATAAGGACAACTCAATTCTTAATTAATTCTTATTTGTCAGACATAGGCACATGGACGGTTAAAAAATTCATATATATATATATATATATATATATATATATATATATATATATATATATATATATATATATACAATTTCAGTTTGTCCAATCAGCCAATCATGCTGAGTAGACCGATTCTGGTCACCAGATGTTTTGGTTTTTCTTTAAAAGGAACTAAAGCAAATTAATGTACAGCCAATGTCAAAGTTGGAAATTATTAGATTTAATCAACATGATTTAAAATTTGCTTCCATGAAATGGAAAACCTAAACATTTTGAAACATTTACATTCTGACTGCAGGTATTCTAGCCAATGTTTGCTGGTAATCTGATTACATTTCCCTGCATGCTGTTTGTTCACTGGCTCAGAATAACTGCTCAGTCTGATGTTGGGCTTAGAAAAGAAGACTATTCAATGTTAGAACTTGTACCAATAAGGGGGATTTAGACCCAAAACACACATGAATGATTTCATTAAAAGCTAAAAAACAGCAGAAAGGTTTGACTCTAACGGAGATGCCAGTGCAGTCTGGTCCAAAGATGCTCCAGGATTTAGCAAAAATTGTCTGATGATCCAAATCAGTCAAATGTAACCAATCAGCAACTATCCAGTTTGACACTCAAAATTCAGATTTTTCTTTAGTATGTGAATGCACCATTACAATTCCAACATTTTTCTCCATCCAGGAACTCACCATCTGCTAATGCTAATAATGTAATTTCACCAAAAAAAAAAAAAAAAAAAAAAGGAAATATGTTTAAGATGGTTCTCTGAGATCAATCTGGAGGTGGTCTCAGCAGGTCAGAGCTGTACTAGAACTGAAAATTGGTATTGGCCCACAAAACCAGAATCGGTGCCTTAGCTGTGAAATCTAAGATCTAGATTAATTAGTAGTACAAAGGTGCCGTTTTTTATCTGCTCTTATTGACTGCTGTATCTGTATTTCATGTGCCTGTTTTATGTTGCTCTTTGGAGGCTCTTCGATCAGCTCCCACGCTGTTTTTACATGCACCGTAGAAATAAACTGGCATATATATAACACCTGTTATTTGCATAGTTTTTTTTAAACTTTCTCGATGAAAGCAAACTTTGATGAGTACATAAAGTCCTAATTACTATCCTTCTCTGGTTTATTAGTTCAAATAAACAGAATTTCCATCTCAAACTTTTGAGAGTGGTGGTGTATATTCTAGACAGGAATAAATCTAAGATCAAAACTTTAAACCGTTTTAAATGATATGAGTCTAATTTGAGAAAATGACAGGGTCACTGTGATCTTCCAATGAGTTTTAACGGTGATAATGACCCAACAAACTATAGCAGCTCATTTAATGCACACCACATCCTTCATCCTTTCTGCTTGATTTGTGGACAAAAGTACAAATGCTACTTTGTCTGTCTGACAGCTCGCGTTATTGATGTGCTCCTGCTGCAGTTGTATTGCTTGTGTCCCTGCAGAGAGGAGCTCATCATCCCAGGATGCTGGATTTCAACAAGTGAGGCCATAATTCCTTTAACACATGGTGAGCACGGCGGCTTCACGGGTCGCAACAAAACACTGACATCATTTCCTCGGGTTCTGGAGAATGTGGCCCGCCAGCTTGATGTACACCAACCCCAAATAAATCAAGAGTTATGTGTGTTTCAGCCGCTAAGTGGCCGGATTAGTTTTTATGCTGGGCTCGAATCCTGAAGGGGTTTAAAGCGAGCTCGATCATCACGGATTCTTCTTTTTACTAGTCTAAAATAGTTTTTTATTTGTGTGATGATGGACACTGCTTCCTCTACACGTCTTCGGCTGTAATTTACAGAAACCACTAAAGATAAACTGCTGCTTTTCCTGACGTTCAAACCCTTTTTTCTTACAGTTCTTAGCTGTTTTAACAGCTAATCAGACAAGTTTTGTTTCATAGCAGATTTCCCTGCTTTCACTTTTTACTTATTTGGCGTTTTCTTATTTTCTCATAAAAGCCTCAGTCAGACGTCCCCCAAAAAAGAGTTGAAGAATAAAAAAAAAGCTGAAGTTTCTGTCTCCTTGCAGACAGACAACGCTGCACGGCTCATTGTCCCTAAACGTTGCGTGACTTCTTGCACTCAGCTCATCCCCCCTTCTCTGAAGAAAGTGCAGGCTTCCCTTCAGCTGTTGCATGGACAAGCGAGGAATAAATACATGTGGAGTTGAAAGAGTAGACAAGGTGTAGCATCAAAGTTGAAGATAAGCTGTTAGAGGCCTTTTATGTCATCTCCTGACATCAAATTTCTCAGCTTGCACTCCGTCCTCCTCTAGCTCATCTTCAGCCCTGATGAGAGCTGAAGTCTCTCCAAACAAATAATATTTTACAAGCCATTTCCTCGACTGAGCGTGTTGGGTAGAGACAATAAACAGCAGTAATTGTGTCGTGGTTGAGCGTTAGAGCTGCAAAAGAAGGGGATGTTGGAGGGCTTCATGGCCCGCACCGGATCCTCAGCGCCTGGAACACATAAACACTGATTGTTATTCAGCCAGAGCAGCGGATTATTGGCTAATCACGATGGCCGCTTCGTCTACCGTATCCAGTGACAAAGATAAACAGCCGCTGTGCACGAGTTTGTTTGGGTTCGTGCGCGTGAATCTGTGGAAGTCTTGTCAGTTTCTGAGAGGAGGTTGTGATATTAATCCCAGAATGGAGTTACGGATGAACTGCTGCCTTCAAAGGCGGCTCCACCATTAAACAAAAGACCACATAATGTCTGTCAGTGAAAGGTGGCTAAGCTGAAAATACGTGGCCTCGGGTGAAAATTTGTAGTGGTCTGACAAAGTGTTGACGCTCCCACTCGCTAGTCGCTCACTCGTTTCCTCATAAAAGTCACTTAAGATGTTTTTACATCGCCGTCAACTCAGATGGGGAACTTTTACTTCCCTTTAAATCCCGTACTCTTCAGAAAATAAATTCCTTTCTTCTCATCTTTTCTCCTAAATCCCCTTTTCTCTCAGTTCTTCTCTTCCTCTGTGCAGCAGTCAGATCAAAGAGCCTTTATTTGACATTTAGCTGTCAGAAATGATAAAATGATGAATGGTCTACCTATTTCTCTGTTCAGAAGCTACCTAACCTCTGAGCTGGGAGATGAATAGAAGATGATGGCAACTTTTTCAGTAATGAGAAATAAACCAGCAAAAAAAAAAACAAAAAAAAAACATCAGTAGATAATCCATTTCCTCCCTGGACATTAAAAGCTCTTATTTTGAAATCAACGCCCCAAAAAATGCACACAATAAATGTTAAAAGGAATCTTTCATTTCCTTCTAGAATTTCTTCCAAGGAGGAAACAAGGGGAAAAAAAAGTTATATTTCAACAAATCAAAGGGTTTAGATTTTTATAATCCACTGACCCTGATCATTTATTACCAGATTGAACTGAACTTACATTAGACCTGACAAAAAACTTGCAGACTCCTGTGAGTTATCAAAGCATGCCCTGGAAAATAATCTGGGGTCTGTCCTCCCAGTTGGACGTTCCCCCAGCAAAAATACCACCAGGAGAAGTTAGCATCCTGTCAGGGTCAGGCGTGGCAAAACGGGACAGAACTTAACTTGGCTATTCTTGATTTAGATTGACTTGGTTTGAATGAAATGATTTGATTCAACACGGCAAACTTGACTGAACTTGACCTGGTGTGAATGACTTGAATAAACTAGACAAGATATGGCTTCAACCTGACTTGACCTGCCTGACTTGACTTGATGTGTGACTGGAACAGGCTCTCTGAGGCCCCAAGGGGCTTGGTGGATAAGTCGGGGTATGAGATGGCAGAGAGCTTAAATCACGGGGAACTCTGGTTGACATGGTTGTGTGATTCGATAGCCGAGAAATTTAGACCAATCGTAGCAGGTCGGTCTAGCTAGCCATGCTCTGTTGTAGCCTCAGCAGATCGACCATTGGCCTGATCAGTTTTGTGTCTTGCCAGTCACACCGCTGTACTTGAGGGGTGAGCTGAACGCTAAAGCTGCGATGGAGAAAAACTGCAAAGATGGCTCAGTAATGGCGCTCATTTGAAACAGCTTTGGAATAACTTTGAACGGTTTAGACCTGGGCTTTTCTTTGAGACATGAGCAGATAGGGGTACTTAAGTCATTTATATCAAAAAAGGATGTATTTGCCTCTTTGACGGTGTATGGCAGATTGTTTCGATGATCTGTAGTGATGAGTCAGTCACATTGCCCATTGCTCTGATTGGTCGTAGCGCTGTCCAACTACGTGTGCCAGACTACATATTTATGCACATAGGGTGGCTTCCTGGGCTAGCGATTCAGTGCAAAGCAGAGAGAACACCAAAAACTGATCAAGGACTTGAATCATGACATCCTAATCTCAATCATTCACTTATTAGTCATCTTCCCGTTCTTTCTTCCAGATGTAGCGATAATTTACCCCCAAGACCCCGTGCTCCGGATGGGGTCCAACCTGACGGCCAGCTGCTGGGTCCACCCCGACCTCGGTGTCCACGCCAGCTCGCTGTTCTGGACGCTGAATGGCCAGCAGCTGCCAAGCTCTCTCTACAGAGTGTTGAGCCCGACCAACCTGAGCGTGACGCTGGCCGGCCTTAACGCTTCCAGGCAAACATCTGGGGACAACCTCGTCTGTCACAACCACAAGGGGCACATACTGGCTGGCTCCTGCCTCTATGTTGGATGTGAGTATGCCTGCATGTGGAATCAGAACTCTGCCTTGTTAGTATGGAATCTGATGGCAGTAAAGCGGCGGAAGACCGAGCAAATCACTAAAGAGATTCAAGGAATGTAGAGGAAATGGGAATAAAAGGCAAGAGTGAGGAAGTAGTGGGCTGATTTTTAAGTGTCCCTGCACAGTTGAAGCTGTATTTCATGTTTAGTATTGCTGTCATCATAGCCGGTGAGAGACCACCTGTGTGGTCCTCTCACAGAGAATGGGCTGGGCACTTCACACACACACACACACACACACACACACACACACACACACACACACACACACACACACACACACACACACACACCCATTTCTACTTTCATACGAGCTAACATCTTTTTATTTCACTAACCGGTTTAACGTGCGGTCTCATAGCTTATATGCTTCATGAGGGATTAGGACAACAACCTAGAGGAAATAAATATCAGTCCAACATCTGTTTATCCTGTAACATCAGTTTATGATACCTCTCATCTTTAGTTCAGGATTTCTGCTAATTTTAGCTTATAGTAACTTTTTAGTCGGACAAAGACATACCAATTAAAGCTGTTATGACAAATATGCAAAACAAGCTAGTTTAAAACATTTTTATGCCTCTTAACGCTCTCACGTTGTATAGGTATAAATATATTGTGGACATTAAGAAAATGGTGAAGATTTTCTCTTGCATTTGTCTAAAATAACATGGTTCAGTACAAAACCAACGATCGTCTCATCAAACCACCACACTTACACATTTAGCTGGTTCCTTCACTTATTGTGCTCGTGTGCATTTTGCAACAGAACACCACTGGTGTGAGAGGCTCTCCGCTCAATTATATCAGAGAAGGAGAAACTGCCACCACTTCAACTTTAGAATGCAAAGAACAGAAGATGTTTGGAGCTGCAGTATATGGTGACTGGTGTTCAGCTCTCTCTTGTTTACTCTGGCAATGTGGGTTCCGCTATCAGGGGGCGTGGTCTAGATATGATATCCGATGGGAAGGGTGGGAGTTCTGTGACCGTGATTGCTTTAAAACCCTAACTTGTTTAGCAGATTCAGTAGAGCAGCTTTAAATAGCATTCTGGAAGAGGCAAAATAAAAATATTTTTTTCTCCAAAAATGCAAACTTCTGCTTTAACGGTCACATGGGCAAGGATCTGGAACAGAGCAGCGTTTTGTTATTGGACTTCTGTGCTCATCATGGATTGCTCATAAAAGTGTCCATATGTGCTCTTGGCACCAGGATACCTTAGGCTGCAGCTCGGTGATCAACTTTGTTGTTGTCTCATCTGATCTGCGGCCGCATGTCTCAGACACTCGGGTGAAGAGAGGGGCGGAGCTGCCAACTGACCCCTATCTGGTGCTGAGTTGGATCCAATGATGGGGCAGGATGCTGGTCAGACCTACCGGGCCTAAACGTATTGTGAGGGTCTGCTGGGAACATCTAGCAGAGTCTCCTGTTCGAAGGAGTTTTAATTCCCACCTCTGACAGAATTTCTAGAATGTTCCGGGGGAGGCGGGGGACATTGAGTCCAAGTGGGCCATGTTTAGTGCTTCCATTGTTGATGTGGTCGAGTGAAGCTGCGGCCACAGGGTCGTCAGTTCCTGTAGTGGCGGCAACCCGCGAACCTGCTGGTGGACACCTACGGTTAGGGATGCTGTCAAGCTGGAGAAAAAGTCCTATCAGGTCTTTTTGACCGGTGGGACTCCAGAGGCAGCTGATGGGTACCGGCGGTCCAAGTGGAATCCGGCTCGAGTGGTTGCAGGGGCAAAATTCCGGTTGTGGGAGGAGTTTAGTGAGACCACGGAGCAAGACATCCAAATGAGATACAAGCGGCCAAAATGAGTTTTCTTCGCAGGGTGTCTGGTCTCTCCTCTCCCTTAGGGATAGGGTGAGAAGCTCGGTCATCCGAGAGGGGCTCAGAGTAGATTCGTCGCTTCTCCACATCGAGGGGAGCCAGTTGAAGTGGGTCAGCATCTGATTAGGATGCCTCCTGGACGCCTTGCTGGTAAGGTTTTCCTGGCACGTCCTACTGGGAGGAGACCTAAAGGAAGACCCGGGACACGCTGGAGGTACTATGTTTCTCCAGCAGCCAGGGAACGTCTTAGGATTCCCCCGGAGGAGCTGGCCCAAGTTGCTGTGGAGAGGGAAGTCTGGGCCTCTCTGCCTATTTGCCAAATGGGGAAAATCTGAATACAAAGTAAAACTTTATAGTTAATTCAGTATTAATACTTATGCATATCTTAATTCCAACAGTAAAAGTATTTCCGAGGTTTGAAAGTTCTTAATTTAAATAAACTACTTGAAACCAGAAATACAATCGGATCTGGAACCTTCAGTAGCTCTAAAACTTCATCCTGAAATGGTAAAAACTAACTTATGTTTTTAAACATAGTTATAATAAAGGTTTAAGCAACTTTTAAGTATTTCTTAGAATAATAATCTCATAATAATAAAATCATAATGAACATAATAATGAATCTATACAACATAATAACAGTAGTGGTATTATTTTTAGATCTATTTGTGATTTTTTTCCCATTATTTTCCACAAATATCAGTGTCTGATAAAAAGAAACATTCTTTTTCTTCCGGCTCTTGGAGGGTGCAGACGCTTTTCTTCTCCTCTCCTCCGTATCTTGTCCTCAAGGCCTTTGTCTGTCTGTGTGTGCTGGGTGCACGGCTGCTTCTGCATTTTTTTCTGGAAACTGAAATTCACTAAAATGGATCTCGTCAGTTGGTCACTCAACACGGTTGATAACATTTTTTCAACGATGAGAACGGGAGAAAAGGCTCTCAGATGCACCCTCCGGGACAGACTAGCTGTCTGTGGAGGACTCTGAAGATGTGTGGATATTCGTGGTGTTGGTGTCGGGTTTCCTGCTGATCGGCATTGGAGGCTACCTGGCTTACCAGAAAATTAACGACCTGTCGAGGAATATTGGCCTAATCCCAGAGCTCAGAGATGGATTGCACCATGCTGTGAATTCACAGACTCATATAATTGTCGAGATGAATCGTAAGCTTGGAACTTTGGCCTAGATTCATTCATTGGCACAGAAGATGGATGCCATCAAGGAGAGAGTGGACGAATCAGCACGGATTGAGATAGTTTAATGTCCATTATTGGGATTTTGAGAGGTTGAGGACAAACAAACTGTAAGACAGAGAGGAAATTATCTCTGTCTGGCCCCAAAACAATTTCTAATCGGAATCTGGCGCCCTTGAGCCTGTAAGGCTCCACTGAAAACCCCCCCGTCAGAAGATATGTGGAATGTGCCGTCACTATGGCAACTCAACTCTGTCTCCTATCCCAGCCTGGGCGGGACTGCGGGAAGGCCGCTGAAATGTTCCAGGGTCACTGCAACCCTCCAAACCTCAATGCTGCTCCCCCTATCCACAATGAGGTGACATGCGCTGCCTCATCGTGGCTGCAGGAACTGAAGTAGGGATAGTCCCAACCCACCACCCCACCTAGTGGACACTTGTGTTGTATTGTCTGAAGTCTGTTGCATATCTGTCTGAGGTGTTTTTTTGCAGAGCAAAGCTGCCCTCCCGGTGGAGGGTAACTCTGAAGTGACTTTTTTTCCTCCACCTGAACCAATCCTTATGTAACCCTCTTATCTCTATTAAGGTAGCGCGACTCAGGGCTGCGAATGACCACAGTCACCAATTCTTGTCATGCGTCTTGCCCATGTATGTCTGATTTCTGAATTGTGTGTACTGAAACTCTAATTTCCCTCTGGGATTAATAAAGTATCTTTGATTTGATTGATTTTCTACTAAAGTTCCATTTTCTTCTTACTTTTTGAAACCTAATAATAAAAGAAAATGGTGTTTTTCAAAAATGACAAACACGTTTCTTCTAGTTAAAAGAGAAATCTGAGAGAAAAGCTGAACAAATCTTTTAGTGGCTCTAATCTACTTATGTAGATATTTATCAAAAATTAAAAATGGTCTCTTTTAGAAAAGTGCTGTAACGGGGCTCTAAACAAGTTTAATTTTAATGAACTCAGGGGAAAATAGCTGCAAGGATTGGTTTCAGACTGCTGGTTTAATGAGACAAGAAAGAAAAATAATAATATTGTGCACATATGTACTATTTATGTATGTTTAAAACAACATTGTAAGGGGCGTGACTCTCACCTAAAACATACTTAAATTCAACAGTTTTTTCTCTCACTACCATATTTTTCCATTTTTCAATAAAAACATCAGTTTCTGAAAGAATTTAGTCACAACCTAATCATTATCATTTACATGAGACTTTTGACTTGTTTCAGATAGTGTAATAACTATGCAGCTACAAAATCAGATCACGTTTTAACATGCCGTCGCTTCATAAAGAAAACATAGATTTCTGTGGGAGGTAAGGAAATGTGTGCAGGCATTTTCTTATCCTCACACCGACATGAGAACAGGGTGTTATTCTCTGTGTGACACTGCTGATGAGGACCCAGTGTTCTGACAGATGAAGAATGTTGGCAGGGATCCCCGGTCTGACCAGATCTGACCCCCCCACCCCACACACACGGACCAATTAAGAAATAACACCAGCAATTTCAGGGGAACAGTACTAATGGGTGGATTACTCTCTGGAGGATGTGGCTGCAGCTCTGTGCTCTCAGACGACAATTTCCTACCTCTGCGGCCTCCTCCCACCTTCTACCCATCTGTTTTCTGCTCCTAACTCTTCCTCTACATCCTTCTGTCCCCAGTGCCTCCAGAGAAACCAGTTAATTTGAGCTGCTGGTCCCGGAACACCAAGGACCTGACATGCAGCTGGGCTCCTGGAGGAAGAGGAGAGACGAACATCAGCACACAGTACAAGCTGAAGTACAAACTCAGGTACACACGCACGCAGGCACACATTTTCTGTGTTTTTCAGAGGTTTTAAACTTATTTTGTTATCCTCCCAGATGGTATGGTACAGAGAAGGAGTGTAAGGATTACAGTCACACACAGCCCTACTCCTGCAGCATCACCCAGGACCTGCACCTCTTCACGCCGTATGAGATCTGGGTGGAGGCCTCCAACCAGCTGGGCCGGGCCGCCTCTGACGTCATCATCCTAGACATCTTAGATGTGGGTGAGTGTAAGCCTGAGCACACTTTGACCTTTGACCTTTATCTGTTGTTAGATCTGTGTGTGTCCTCGGGCTAAGTTCTTGGTCAGCTTTTAGACCCATTAGTCTTTAATACGAACCAGTTTCTATCTGTGAGCCCTTGTTCCAGGTTTACTGTCCTGCAGGCAGTTAAACCACTTCTTCATTAGCTTAATGCTAAAGCAAAGCTATAATTCTAATTCCTTCCTTCCATACTGAACTTTTTCATTAAGGCCGTTTGCCTAAAGTCACATTTCTTTCCTGAAATACTTAAAGTTAGTATTCCTCTTCTCCTGGAGCTAACCTGAAAATCCTTCACATGTTTTGCTCCATATTGAAAACTGATGGTGTTTTGCCGCCAGCAGATTCATAAAGCATTTTTCAAATTCCATGATATCCAAAAGTTCCTTAGACTGATTGACATCTGGTGTTTATGGAGGTTGTTCAGGTTCAGCACACTTGTTCTCAAAATGAACAAACAAACAAACAAACAAACAAACAAACAAACAAACAAATAAATAAATAAATAAATAGATAAATAAATATTTGGGAGAAATCTGTATCCTAAAAATCTGAAGAGTTGTTTTCAAATAGCTTCAATTTCTACCATCTGAACATTTTCCTAGAGAGGATCATGTCTCACAGGATTTTGTTTGGAACATTTTGCCTGTTTCATACTGTTTTGTGGTTAAGTGAATAGTTCAGTAGATCATTTAAATCTGTCAACAAATGTAATGTTTTATAAGCTCCTGATCAAGTCTAAATACAGTGTATCAGCAAAACTTTAAAAGTCTTAAAAAGCCTTAAATTAGATTTTCCATCATTAAGGTCTTAAAAACCCCTAACAAACAACACATTTGGACCGATAGTAGACGATTATCATGTTTAGCCTGCATGTTAAACCCAGAGTGACAGATAGTTATTGAAAAACAATTAACAAAAATCTGTTCTCAATGAACATCCTGCACCTTAAAATCGAGGTCCTAAAAATAACACTGACTAAACCAGATTGCTTAATTTAATTTCTTTTGGAAATCGCTAAAGAATTTTCTGAATTTTGAATCGGTGTTTTTGCGTATGAGGCTAGCATGTAAGGAACTACCAACATTCATTCATGTGTAATTGTGGGAGCGGGCTATTTCCAGATAAGCACATCAGCCTCTTTAGCTGGTGGACGTGTGAATCACGGTACGTGCAGATTTAGTCAATCATCTTGATGTTTTTGTTGTTTTTCAGCTCTTTCACTAAAGGTTTGAACAGAACTATGGTGTAAGGTGTTCACCCCTCTTCTTCATTCCAATGTAAGGTCTTAAAGGGATACTTTTCAAATGTTTCATATTTTGAAATCATTTTATTGAGCCAATATGTGCTAAAACGAGCCTTTACACAGTTAATAAAAGGCCACTCAGGCCATATCGCCCCCCTGTGGCCAGAATATTTCTCCTGCAACCGGACTGGCAGGCCTTTCTATTGGGACTTTTTGGGATTTTTTAGCTGACATACCTGGCGCTGCAGTTTCCTGCATGTTTTAGATCATGAACACAGCTGATTTATTTAATTTAGTGATGAATTGCTCCAGTAGGCACTAATGAAGGCTGGAGAAACATTTCAGCTGCTAGATTAAGGTGTTAAAATGACAAATGCACAGCGGGAAGATACGTTTTGATTTCGGTTCTACAAATAGACACTAGGGGGTGTTAGAAGCAAGCCAAAACTGTCTAGTTCCCCTTTGAATTTTATCGATTTGGCCGAGACATCAGTCCGCAATGAGCTCACAACCTCGTCATTTTCTCTTGTTTATTCCAAATTAGCATGTATAATTCTAATGTCTTCAGCTGCTAACGATGATGTCGTAAACACAAACGACTTCCTCGCCGATTCTCTACAGCCTTATATTTCAGGCAGTCATTCCCGAGTACCGGTCTGCTGTTACACTGATGGGAACTAAGTGGTATTCCCTTTTAAAGCCATGCTCTGCTGCTTAGCTTGAATGATGGAATTCTCTCTCTAAACCTCACACATATTCATGCCCACACCTGGACAGGCAAGCTTTTGTTCTGACTGCACGTACAGCACCCTAAGATGACGTCTGCTGTGAGTCGACGCCACATAAATAACTTTGAGCTGACCTGGAAAACTGCGTCTCTTCTGACAAGCTCGTCTTCTTTTTACTCATGCTCGATGGACACACACACACACACACACACACACACACACACACACACACACACACACACACACACACACACACACACACACACACACACACACACACACACACACACACACACACACACACACACACACACACACGAGATTGCTGGAATGTTTTCTTGAATCTAATCCCATCTCCAAGGCGGCTGCAGACCCTGAGGCCTGAGCAGTTTGAGCTTGGAGGCTTGATAAGACCTGGACTTGAAATAATAAAACTTGATTAGCTCAGGATGCTTCACCTGGAATACTCCTAGAGCCCCCCGAGGTATTCTGGGAATTTCTTTTTAGAGAATACTGAGTTTCTGAGGTGGACACGCCAGCGGGGAGGAAGCAAACGTCCATCAAGCTGTAATCCCTTTCTTCTTGCTAATGTATGCAGGCACACACCTGTTTACACACCTCCAGGGCAGGGCAGGGCCTGGAAACAGAGGGGGCATCCAGAGTGTGGGTGTTTTATTTGGATCTGAGTGTGCTTGGTTTTTGTCTCTGTCCACGGCAACCCAGCCTTCCTATTTATTCAAGCCTTTTCCACTACAGAAGCGGGCCATAAAGAAAACCACACCTGTGTCGAGCTGCTGTGAGTCACTCACATCTGCAGTCATGTGCAATCAGCGCTGGAGGTGAGGTGGAAACTCCTGCAGTTTTTCTGCATTCCTCGTTCGCAGGGAGACGTAAGATCTGGGGGGACTAGAGAAAACTTGCATGGCTGTCTTACTCCGACGCAGTGACGTGTTGAGGAGTGACGCAACGTTCGAATAGAAAAGACGTGAACTTTGCAATCCTTTGCTGTTATTTGGTGATGTAACCCTTTCCCATGAGAAAAGTGGTACAGTTCTTACAAGGATAAAAAATGCGTCTAGTCTATGAGCATCGTAGCACAAAATCAAGCAGTTAACACAGTTATATCCATGATGGGAATCTCCTGTTCCTTCATCAGGAGATGTCTGAATGTGGTGGGTTTCTGCTGTGTGGTTGACTGATTAGGCATCTGTGTTATGGTTGATGACCGTGTACAAGTAATCTGCAGAAATGTCTGCTCTTTTGTTTTTGGTGGTTTCTGTTTCACACCTCTCCAGGTTTAGATGACCCTCTTTCCTGCAGTCTGCAGACACACCCTCTTACGTCTCCTCACTTCCAGTCATCAAGAGGAGAGTTTCGACTCTGTGTTTGGAAACGGTGACCAAAAATATCCGTTCAGTCTGTCTGTAGCGTTTGTAGGAATCTAAGGTAGCTTGTTAGGTGACTGTTGCTTGGAAACGGATGATTAGAGAGATTTAGAAGAAACCACATCCTTTCTCTGTGTGGATTCGGATCACTTTAATTCCAATTCAAACATCTGAATCAGATCGTGTAGCAGTGGCAGACGTGACTGTTGCATCACCTGGAAGTGGAAGAAAAATTGACCTAAATTCACCCCGTGTCCTTATGGTTTTATGAGCTCGGTGAAGGTTTTCTCTCCCCTTTTGCTTTTTAAGATGCCAACATCGTGTTTACTTTAAAAACCCAGTTGAACAGAAACAAAACCTCTTAATTCTACTTTTTTGTTGTATGTTTCCCCCTCATCCTCCTCCGGGGTTTTCTGAGTTTGTTTACTCGTATGGGATGGCATCATGAATGGAAAACTCAAGTTTGTATTAAAGCGATCTCTCAGAACCAGAACAAGAGCAACATTGAGACAATGGTCTGTCACAGCGTGTTTGTTTGTCAAAGAGATGATTATTGTCAGATGGAAACCCGAGTCGATCCATCAGAACTCATCTGAACCTCGAGGGCCAGCGGAGAACCACAGACGTCTACCAGAACTGAATGAGTCATTTACACATTAACGTCGAACTTTAGAAAGCTTGTTGCAGCGCGGAACAGCTAAAATAATCATACTTTATTAAACAATCCAGATTTTTTGGTTTTTATTAATTACAATGTCATTTTTGTGTAGCAATTCATCATTTTGATTTGCCTGGATTCTGCAGCTTCTACAAACGACATTGTTGCTTTGATTTTCAGGTGCAGGATGTTTTAAAGACCAAGTTCACTGTAAAAGTGTTTTTTACATGTTTTTGTAATATGATCGGCCACTGTGAGTTTAGCATGCAGGCTGAACATGAAAATAGCCTTCCACTCCTATTTCCTGCATTAGTTGTCGATACAAAATAAGCAGGTAAATGTTCGCATTAGAATATCCTGACAGATCTACGTCACAATGAAAATTAGCATTCGTGGACTCCCCCATCTTGGCTCACGATGGGGAAGGCTGTTGTTGGTTTAGCACCCAGGAGAGAGCAGAGTACGTCTCGGCTAGTAGAAGCTAACCATTAGCATTAGCAACTCCTCAACATGGCAAAACTCCTTCAGGCTTGTGTTATTTGCAGAGCAAACAGAGTCGGTGAGATATCTTAAAATCAGGAAACGAGACTCCAAATCCAGCCATTTTCCACCCCCCCCCCACCCCCCCATCCTTTGACGAACTTCTACCTCCTGAAACAGGAGCAACAGAGCTTTCTTTCCCCACAGAAAACAACTCACAAGGTGTTCATTCATAATAGAGACTACAGTGGATTTGTTTAAAAAAATGATCTCTGATTTTGTACAAAGTGTGAAGTCACAGAAAGCCAGTTTTAATTTGCTTAAGTGTCTCGGAGCATCATATTCCCATGCGGGATGGTTTTAGCATAAAAACGATATTTAAAGGATGTTTGCGATGAGAATGTTTATGATCATATTGCAAACTTAAATAAGCAATACATATTTTCTATGAGTGCATTTATTAGTAA